CATTGTAAACCAAAAACAGCTTAATAGCTTTATTTGATATATCAGTACCTAGGTAGTTAAATATTGACATTAATTGTCAATCATAATAATCAGTAAGATTTTGTAAAATATAAATAGTTATTATAACTTATTTTAATATCAAAATTCAAGTTATAGTATTAGGAATAGACAAATAGTCAATAGGTTATACAATGTATAATACAGCAGGTAATATAATTTGTATAATATTATAGTGTTGTCACCAATATTTTTTACTTGTTTGCAAGTCCTAACCCAGTTAGTAATCAATCAACATTTTTTTTTTTTTTTGGAGTGTGTTATCTCTTGATAGCTATACTTATTAGGTACCATTAACTATATTCCGTCCTATATAATAAATTATAAAAACCAATATATAACTTTGCAGTACCTGCAGTAAGTTTTAAGCATAGCTAATAAATATAATATTAACTACCTACTATGTCATAACTTTTATTCTAATCAATATTATTTATTTAATATATAACTGAAATTGTTCTTAAAAATATTTATAAGAATAAGTTATTATATGGTGTTAATCCAAAGATTTGAGTATACATTGAGTAGGTACTAAGTCACTGCTATTAATTAAGTAAAATTATGATGTTTTTTTTTTTCAAAAAAAGAAAATATTATATAATAATAATATAAAATTAAATACAGTATCAAATGACCAAATATACATATTTAGTTTGTTGCACCAACCAGAAATCTCTATTACCAAACAGCTTAACTAAAAGTGTGACATAATTGTAAGGCAGAGAACAATTTTAGTTCTATAGAAACATAAAGTATGCATGCACTTAAGCACTTAAAAACACTAACATAATTTATATAATCTATAATTTTTTTGTATAGCAGCTTACACAATAAATGTACTAAAATAAGAATGATGTTATGTAAGACATATAATATAATACCTAAATTAGAACAATTATTGTAAAAATACTCGATTGACCCACACCTACTGTGGTAGTCACAAAAATAAACAAATGATATAGCAACTGATTGTTGTTGATAAATGTCTTTTTTTTTTAAATAACCAACTAAAACAAAAAAAATTTAAAACATTATGTTCAAATATAAATTATAAAACTATAAATTTTACTAAGGTTTACCTTTTTTTTAAGATTCCACTAAAAAGGTATGCAAGTACTAAGAGTCCTCTGCCCTATATATAAGTGTAGGTATTATGATGAGATATACTATTTAAAACATAATTAATACTTAAGGAAGGCATTATTAAAAAATTTTAAACAATTTATCTAATAATTGTATAATAGTTATGTTTTAATGAAATTAATATGCATCAAAATCAATAATAATATAACACAAGAATTAAGTTTCTTCTGATTTCACTTTTTTTTGTTTCTTTTTTGTGGTTTGTAGGCCACTTGACTTGTTTGCTTTTTCCAGTTTGAGTCTTCTTTCTCTTCGTTTTGCATTTTTACTTTTTACTAATGATGTACTTTCAATATTTTTGTTTTTTATATTTTGACATTTACTCTCTAAATTGTTTTCAGTATTATGGATATTTGACTTTTTAACTCTTTTAACCTTTTTATCAATAATTTCATTATTTTCAACTTTTTCCTCTTTGACGATTTCAATATCTTCAACAACTTTTTCCTTTATGACATCTTCAATATCTTTAATATTTTCTTCCTCTTCAACAACTTCTTCATCTTCAATATTTTCCTCTTTTACAGCAACTTCATTGTATTCTAAATCCCGACGAATAAATACAGCAATAAAAAATCCATTAGTACAATCAACACTTGGAACAGCATTAAGACACATTTCTGAACAATCATAACCGGGAGCTCCTTTGTTTGTCCAGCCTTCCACTATTTTGGTACAATTTAAAAGCTTAAATTTTCCATTAACAGATAAAGCTTCGTCAACAACAGCTTCATTTTCTTCGTGATTTGCAGAGCATGTGGAATAAACTAATCGTTCTAAATTAGGATAGCTTTTTAATGCATGATTTAATAACTGAGCATGGACATTAGCTAATTTTTTTAATCTTGATTCAAAATTTTGATTTTGCCCTGATGAATCATTACGAACTCTATCAACAATACCTGAAAAATTATCATTTAATATTTAAAATTGAACATAAACTATAATTATTCAATAAACAAAATATTAAAAAAAAAAAAAAAAGGAATTACTACAAAAAATATTATTTACCAGAACCAGAACATGATGGATCCAACAATATGTATTTAACATCATCATAATATGGAAAAGTTAATGCATCCATGTTGAATGTTTCTGCATTTTGTACACCATATTTTTCCAACATTTTTTGCATGATGTTGAATCTATCCTTACAGCGATCAACAGCATAGAGTTTACTATAAATATTACAGATGTATTAGGCATGAGTACAACAAAATACATCATTAAATTATTGTTTCAACAAATTCCAACAAGAATTGGTTGTATTAGAACTGTTTAAAAATTATAAATGATAATTAGTTATAGTACATAGTATTGATAACAATGATAACTGATGATAATTTTCCATGCTAAATCTTTTTTGAATTGCCAACTTAAAACAAATTATGGCCATTTTTTCATGACATAAAACATGTGATGATAGTAGCTATAGAAGATAGAACAAAAATACAAATATAATATTAACCTAATATTATTTCATAGATATTTTTTTCCTCAAAATTAAATAGCAAGCCTGAGCATAAATGAGTTAAAATGTTAAAGTTAAGTTAATTTTAACTTTTTAAAATTAAATTTTCAGTAACTTAATTTTTAACTTGAAACTTATTTTCATTGATATAAACTTAATAAATAATGAGTTACTTTTAATCAAATTCAAGATAAGTTAATTTAAAAATAATTTAATAAAATATAAAATATAATTATTATTAATAATGCACATTACCTAACCATTTCCTAGAATAGGAAACTAGAAATATAGTTAACGTATTTCTTGTTCCAGTATTCTTCAAGAAAAATTAATTAGGTAAATGCATATAGATATAGCAATAACCATATGCACATATATAGGTATATATTATATTTAATATTATAATATATAGGTTATAGGTGTATTGTATAACATCAAGTTATATTACGAGTATATCATACTGCGACATATTATAATAATAAAAATAATAATACTAATAAATAATAAGTAACAAGTAATAAGTAATATGATATTAATTTATTATATTAACATAGATACAAATCACAAATGTAAAATTCTCAAGAATATATTATAAAATATTTTCGTCCTAAATTAAAACTAATTGGGTTATGCTCATATACATTTAGTATGCTTTTGATACCTGCTATACAATTATATTCATCAGTACCTAATAATTTAATTCTATATTTTTATGTATACAAAGGCTATTTGCTATTGCCTATTATCTATGTTCAATAATATTTATGATTTTTACTATTTTAAACCATATTACTGGGTATATTATACATAAATTATATAAAGATATTTAAAAAAAAAATCATAATATTAACTTAACAAGTTGGTTGAAAATGTTCATATAAGTTTTAACTTCTAACTGAGTGAGAAAAAAAATTAAGTTAGCTGTTAACTTTAAACTTTTTAAAATGCTTTCCATCAACTTAATTAAACTCAGTTAAAAATTATCATTAACTTGCCCAGGCTTTTAAAATAGCATAAAATTATTAGCAAAGAAATCCAACCACTGGTGCTATTTTTCAAAAAATAAAATAAAATTTATATATGTTACGGTAAAAGTATTAATATCAGTGAAACCTAAGATTTACCAGTAAATCCTAGATTTCACCAACTTCTGTCAGTAAAACCTAGTATTTACAAAATAGTTTGGTTAAACCCCAAATGATTTTTATAGTTCAGACTTTTACAAACGACATTTTGTAAATCATAGCATAAACAAACAGTATTGGAGAAAATCCAAAAATTTTACCAATAATTGTGTGATATTTTTCCCTTTAATTTATATTCGTATTATTATTATTTAAGTATATTAGGTACTATACATTATCTACTTATTTATATAAGTATTATTAATTAATTTATTGTTATTAAATATTATTGAAAATAGAGAAAAGTAAGTACATTTTTATCAAATTGAAAGTATTGTAACAACGCAACAAATTACATTTTACGGCGATCCACTTTGGGAATTTTCATTTAAAAAAAAAAACAAAAATAAAGATTATTAAAGACCTTGACATGAATTTAACCTATGTGATAAAAGTTGTCCCTATACTTAATACTGTGTATTACATATAATAAAATTTGGTTTATAATATGGAACAGAGTAATATATTTATAGGCCTATTGAAAAATAACTTTACGAGTTCCAGACAATAAAATTGGTATTCGTTAAGCCGTATCACAACTGTTTTTGACTAATGAACAAGGATTAATAAAGTATTACTGGGAAAAAATGTATTACAAGTTGATGTAAGTGCTGATTCAAAAATGTATAATGTAACTCACGATGTACAAATAATTTATTGTTGTAATAAAAAAAAATAGTTACCGTATTATAATTTTTCAGTAATATTTAATAACAATAAATGAATCAATAGTAATAATATAAACGCGTGTATCTAATATAGTATTTAGTAAGTACCTAGTAGTCAATGTATAAGACTTAAATTTAAATAATTAATAATAATTATACAAATATAAAGCAAAGGAGAAAATATTACACAACATTCAGGGTTTAAAAAAAATATATTTTATATCCTAGGTTTAAACGGTATTTGCACTTATATCGTAACATACTATATAATTGTATGTTATAAATTGGTATAAATGAATAAGCTCACCCTGTATTTTGCATAATAGCAGCTAAATGAGATGTCTTCATACCAGGAGCAGCACACATATCTAACACAGTACTATTTGGTTCTGGATTCAATAAGTATGCAGCCAAACAGCTTGCCTGTAAACAAAAATTTTTATTTAACAGCTAGTACATTTTAGAACATAGGACAGTATAAACAATAAAACAATTGATATGGATAATATATATGATATATCACAAACATGTGAACAGGGGATGCCATAACATCCCATATAGAGCCAACTTAAGAAAAAATCATAACATGTGTTGTCACCATCTAACAAACACATAATACACTAAATCGTATACTCAGCAGTTTCTATTTTGTGTTGTTGACATAAATATTAGAACAAATTAACCTGTTATCAATATGACAATGGCATTATATTTGTTCTCTAGTTGGTTTATTATGACATTTTAAATATTTTCAAATGAATTATGAAACATTTTACACTCATAACTCATTAACAAGTAAAAATATTCTAAAAACCCAATAAGAGCACATATCATATTCTTAGCTCTAACTTTTTCTAACTATTTCACACTAATATTTAAACTAACAACAACAAATTTGAACTACTTGATGTTATTTTTGGTAAGACAAACACAAATACAAGTGCGGTATCGTCTTAATCTTTAGTTGTCAATTATCATTATCAATAATTAAAATATGTATTATACTCTCTTCCACATGAGAACATACTGCGCAATAATAACATTGTCAATTTATTCATTCATATTACGTATTATGATTTAAAAATAAAAGGTTTACCTTATCTTGAACAATTAAAGATCCATTCTTGTACTCTTCAATTTCATAAAACTTCACTTTTGAATTGAAAACTAATAATTCTTTAATGTGAATATCTTGAACAAAGACGTTTTTTCCTTTGAACTTGTCAGATTTGATTAATTCCAAAAACTCAACATAAGATTTTGGCGATTTTAATTTAATAAATTTAAGTTTTGATAATTTTTCCAAAATTTCTTCTAACGTAGTTAATAATGTGTTAACGCGGAAAAACCTAGGTTTTAAACCTGAAAATATAATTATATTTTATACAAAATTATTAGGTACACTGCACAGACAATTAGAAACAAATATTTTCAAAAAATTATCATACACACATAGATTTTAAAAAGTGTTGATTCTAAAAACGTACACATAGCAAAATTGAGAATTCCGTAAAACTAAATTTGTTATTTATTTTAACAGTAGTCAATTGGTCCACTATAGAATTTAAATGTAAAAATATTATGAATAGTATCAATAGGCTTTTATGCACATTTTATTTACAAAAGAATAATCGGCAATTGAAAATTGTAATATTTTTAATTGTCATAATTCACTTGAAAATTAAAATATCAATAAAATCCTAAAGGATGACTAAAATRGCGCTATGTCCGGGAGTAAATCTATACTATAAAAGCCTAGTTCGGACGCCTATTTGGCAGAATTTCTAGTGGGCACCCTTAGGTTTCTGCCATGCCCGGGTGGGGGATAGCGACCTCTCTCTCCAGACACCATGACTGCCCAAAGAGAAGTGCCACCCGTGACCAAGGTTTAAACCAGCAGCGGTTCCTGTTGCGGTTGACACCTAAAAACTCCCAACCACTCTATTCCAAGTAGATCAATTGACTCTAATATTTAAGCTAATAACACAAAATTAGTTCTATAGAACCCAAATTTTATGCATATGATGAAGTCAGCATATGGAATGCTTCTGGTACTTGGGTACAAAATAAACAGCTAAATTTTTAACTCTATTAAATAACAAATATTACTAATGTAATTGATTAATGTAATGAATAACGTTTTTTTTTTTTTTTTAATTACCTTTAGTATACGTGGAAGTACATAGTTTTTCTAAATCATTTTCTTTCATAAGTTTTGAAAATTCAGCTTTATATTTTTTTATAGCTAATATATTTTTAGCAGTGCCTTTTAATCCAAATTTTGACCACATCATTTCAGTGATAAGTACATACACTAAATCCCGGTCCATATTATTTTCTTTTTCCAATATATTACTTTTTTCTATTAACACGTCTATCACCTTTTCCCATTTATACACATTCATTAGTACTGCATTCAATGATAATTTATTCTGGAAAAAAAAAATATATTTTTATATTTGTATATTCAAAAATTTAAATTACTTAATTAAAAACAAAACTACAATAAACCAAGGACTCTACAAAGTTATATTCATAGTAACATGCACATATTGAAATGCATTTTTATTTTATACAAATTCCTAAAGAACAATAAGATAGCAGAATTGGGATATTCCCTTTACATAGCTATGATTGTGTGGAGTACGCATTACAGAATAAATACCGCACAAGCTACCAAGATATTGAGTACCAAATTGTATACAACATTATCTCTTAAACTTAACATTAGAAATAAATTTTTGGAAATTGAAATTAATACATACCTACAACATTTCAATGACTCAAATTTGTCAAATTTGTTTGAATTAATTTCATTATACTAAGAATTGTATGCCTTATTTTTTGGTTCACTATTTATATTAAATTAGTACCTAACAATGACAAACAATGCAACTGCAAAGTACCATACATTTTCTAGATATCTAGTGCTTACATTAGAGATCCAATTCAATATTAATTTGCTATTACAGTAGAACATTGATCTACGATCATGAACGATGATGAACTGCGATTAACCCTGCTCACTCTTCCGAAAATTTAAAAATAAGTATGGACTGTAGATATATATTATGTAGTTATAATCAAACATTTTATATTACATAATACCCAATATTGACAATCGTATTAATTACATTTTTGACGATAATAATATGAAGATAAGCAATATTGTTTTGGAAAAATACAGACAAGTCAAGCAATGGAAGCAGTTGATGTCCTCTTGAACTTCTGCGAACAGGAAAATGTTGACTTCCATGACGTTATTGGCTTAAGAAAAATTAAAAGTGAAGTAAAGAAAATTATTTCAAACTAAAAAAAAACAAAGACTAATAACTTCATATTTTAAGCCTTAATAACTTGTTGTATACAATATTATGGATTTATGTATAACATTATTGTGTGTATATTATGTATATTTCTAATTATAATTAAATCAAGATTTTTAAAATTTCATTATTACCTATAAAAAGTCTCATTAAACGTGATTATCATTTATCTGTGTGACCCCTTCCCCATCATTACCCCCTGATAATCGAGGTTTCACTGTATTAACTAATTTTTAAGTTCTTACTGGATATTGTGCTTGGTAAAGCTGAGTCTTATAACTGCTACCGGTTTTGACTTTTTTTAATATTTTTGCAGCAATTTTATATAGTCCAGTGGTTTTATCTTGGTTTTTGAACATATTTGGTTTTTCAGTGACCATCTATAAACACAGTTACAATACGTTTTAATTAAGATAGTAATTCGTAGGTAGTTCATAAGAACGCAAGATACTTACTTTAAATAATTTAAGTCTGTAAGCGACAGTATACGAAACAACAAGCGATCAAGTTCCTGACAATTCGCTCAAACTATTGAATTAAAACATAATCATGAAAATATATTCAAGATGAAGAAAACGATACAAAATAATAATAAAAATTAGACGCAAGACCAGCCTAACACAAACAAAAAGTAAAAAAAAAAAATGAAAATCAGTGTACTGTGCACGTGCTTTACTCGATACCTACTTTCATAATACTGTTATCTCAGTCACGACTCACGGTGTTTGGTGTTTATCATCGAGATAGATAAGGAATTCTTATCTATCTTGATGCTGTGATCAAAGACGTGTATTCTTACTATTCTTTTCTATGATAATAACCAAACAAATCCGGCGAAATGTATACACCGCTTTATTCTGTCCTACATGACTGCATGTTAAAGATATTTTTAATTAGTAGTAAAATATGTTTTATTTGTATTGATTATTTTTATATTATTATTGTTTATACCAAGTCTGATATTTTTAATAATGAATAAACATTACMCATTTATGTGGAACTGTTTAGTGAAGTTTATGAACCACTACTTAACTCTATATGGGAGGCAACTAGTGTGAACATTTTTGAGACGCAACTCGTATATAATTATGAACTACCTGGTCATCTGAGGCAACGAGTGTAAATTAACCTTTTTATTTACGATAAGGACGGTAGGCAATTCGTATATTTTGGGAGGCAACTGGTATGCGCCGTTAAAGACAGCTACTCACTAGTCGGTCACTACAGCTGTATAGCGTTGCATGCATTAACACTTAACAGTTTTACACTTAACAATTGTGTTTTGTGTAGTAATCCGACAATAATTTTACTTAAATATTATAAAATATACGAATAATGATATCATGAGCTTATCGTAATATGACTAATATGTAAAGTGTAATAAAATTACCATTTTATTACATGGGTCTTGCGGTTTAACAAAACAATAATCCGTTACACGAATTCCACCAATGGTAAAGACTAGATAAGAATTGGTTTTGCATTTCCCAAATTTACTAAGGTAAATAGTAATCGTTGAGCTTGGTCCTCAACATCGCCGTCATGTCTAATAAGTTCATTCCCAATACTTTTTACAACTGACTTTTCGGGCAGATACTTTTCGTTCTGTTTCATAACTTAAATGAAATACATTTATTACTAACAAATAGTGTTTTTGTCTCTTGTTACTTAATCCTACCTAACCACTACACCAGCGTCGTTAAAGAACTCACTTATGAAGTAACCGAGAAAGGTGTGGACTCAGATTCTCAGATAGACAAGAGTAGTTGGAATTTATGTTATATTTGTTTGTCATTAGTGCTGTTGATTAACCGTATACATCTGCTATGGACTAGCGTCCCGCATTGTATAGTTCACAGTCAACTAGGTACCAGCCGCACCAAGCTAGGGAAGGGTGCGACGAACTTTATAAATGTAGGAGAGAAAGCATTTCGTCGAAATCATTAACATTAGGGAAACACGAAATCATGTGGTCATACGACTATAAAAGATCATTGATAGGGGTACACAAGGTGTGGGGTTATACATCAATACTAAAGTTCCAAAAACCAATGTTATAATGTAATATCATAATATATAGTTTTACATAATAATAATATTCATAATAATATAAATTATCGAGGTCTGCAGCTGCACGGGATGCACATTTGGCTTTCAAGTGGGCGAGTTACATTTCCCGTCAGTCTAGACAATTATACCACATCCGTGAGAACAGCGACAAGAACGAGTAGACTATGGGGAGTAGAGGGTAGCACTATATAAGGGACCCCGAAACGGCCTGTATTCAGACGCGACTTGACCAGACTAGCCGAAGCACCTTCACGCCAGTCTGTTCTTTAATTTAATTTATTGGACTTAGAAAAATTCTTATAAATAATATTTTGAACTTAGAAAATATTTGAGTCAAACCGAATTTATTCTAGTCATTCAGAATACTTAACTTGTTAAWYAAAWTTMRRYTT